GCCTGAGTCTCGTGTTGGCATGCCCCATGGAGCCTGGTGGCTCTCCTTACTACGTTTAATTGACGTACGATGTTCTATTCCCCACTTGTCAACCACTCAACCAGTTCAGAGTCAAATCCCATCATGTTGAGCCCCAATCTGATGTCGTTTACTTCTGACATTTCTTCATCTTGTTCCATATCAAGTTGACGATGCTGAGTTGCCTGTTGGTCTTCTTCGTCATGGTCGTCCTCTGCTTTTCGTTTAATGGGTTTACTCGGGGAATCTTTCATCTCTTCATCTTCCACTTCGAACTCGGTCCATCCGGTCCAGTAACCGTTAAAGGGGTTCCCATAGCCCATGTTTGATCGTCTCCATCTTCACCATACCAAGCATCTTCGTGCTCATGTATCTTGCCGCCGTCTATCATGATCGCATGGGTATATCTTTTGGGCTTAAGTTTGTCCCAATCTACTGGACACCCACCGTTGGTGGGGAAGGCTAACTCTTTCCTCGGTCGTCGGTGCTGGCATATAACTTTGTTTCCTTTTATTACCCATTCGTCTTTAGGTTCCTCAACTTTGGCGCTCGGCGGAGGTGGTACATTGATCCTCAGTTTCTTCGCTTGACTTCCTGCTTCTTGTTCACGATTTTCTGGTGCACGGCTTTTACTCTCAAGCCTTAACTGTGCAGATGCTAGCCTTGCCTGGATGCTCGGGCTCTCTTGTTTCTTTAACCATTCAATAACTCGAGCCCTGCAATCAGCGTTATGCGATTTGTGTTCTTTGTCTCCTCTCACGAGGCATTTACATCCGTAACACCCTGGTGTCGGTCCCATTTTCAAGTATTCGTGCTTTTTAACTGCAATCCCTCGTGCAATGAGCGGCTTCGTCTCAGGCGCAGTTAATTCTTGCTCTGGTAGATCCATGGGTACCATGATCCTAGACTGTAATTCCATTCCCGCCGTGCTCGGGTCAGGCTGCCAAGGTAACCCCTTTATTTCGGTGGTCTCGGCAATATTCCATCTTTCCGCATCACTTCCTTTTCTTTTAAACTCGTGCGCCTTGATTGCACCATTGGGCGTCCCAATAATTAGCTCTTGACTTTTCTCGTTTATGCCTAGAAACACTCCACTTTCCCATCTCATTTCGAGCTTCTCGCGGCCTTTGCGTGCAGGTGTCTTCAAATACATGACACACTCACCAAACTCAAGAATTTGCTTGTTAAACTTTCTTCCCCTGCACCTCTCATGGGCCGTCTTCCCATCCGTGTCCATTGCGAACTTGTTAATCAAAGAGGGCGCGTAGCTCACCAGCCAAGGTATTATCTGATGGCTTTCACCAAACTCAGTCTTATAATTGGCATCTAATGCGCCCTTTAACGTTCTGACCTGACCCTGCACTGTCCTAGCGGCTCTCTCAATTTCGCCGTTGGCCTTTGAGCCGCCTACTGGGCTAACTTCAACTCCCATGTCAAGATCACACGAAGCTTTAATCCTATTAGCCAGTGCTGTGATTGCCGCTCCCCCATCACTTTTGAGTATCACCTTCTTGTATCCGGTGAAACTTATCATGTCACATCCTACTTTTACCGAGTACGAGTCCACTCCCTTTTTCATCAACACTCTGCTCCAAGTTAATGTGGTCTCTCTGCAACGCATGACCAAAATTGGATTGCCATTGCTGGTGCTTTCACCTTCATCCTTTCTTCCTTTAAGCCACATGTAGTCCATTGAAATCACTGGCACGTTTCCGTTCCCCTCTCTTTTGCGTCTACGGTGATTGCGCCTGCGCGCTTTCCCTCTAACGCAATGTGGGCACCAGTTTCGGTAAGGCAAATGCGTCGTGTTATGCGCTTCAACTTCCTCCTTTGAGGGCCTCATGTCACAGTGAACTTTCTTTGGTAACTCCGCTTCATCACCCACAAATACATCTTCCACATCACTTAACTCACTCTCGTTGCCCCCACTTTCACTCCCTTCGTCTCCTTCGGTATTAAAGACGTTTAAGTTTTCGCTTGGTCTTACGGGTGATGGGGGGCTTAGTAGAACAGATCCGCCTCCAGGGTTCCCGGCCGCGGAAAACCCTCAGCTACGTTCACTTCACTCCTGGGATTGACGGCCTCCGCTGGTCCCTTCGGTACCGTGATGTTGAACTGGAACGTGCCATTCTTCTCATGAATGGTTGTGGACTTACCGGTCGCCTTGTTCATGATGTGGCTCAGGGATCTCCCGTTAGGATCCTTGTCGAACACCACTCTATTTCCAGCGTTTACCATCTCTCTGACAGACCCTAGGACTTTGTTGACCTCTGCTACCTGAATCGGCATACTGACGGCGTTCCCATGCTCATGTTTACCTGTGATCACTCGTTGACCATAATTCTTTATCGTGGTCCCATTTGCTGCGCTGTAGTGTCGCCCCTGCTTTGACGCGTCCGCATGCTTAATAGGGAAATGAGTGCCAACTCTGGGGGGCCCCACTGTGTTGTATGCGCCGGAGTCCACGGTAACCACGATCGTCTCATGCGTTGCACTTGGTGGTGGCACCGCGTTAATCTCTAGGTCACAGCCCCGCATCTCAATTAGCCCAATTTCCTTGCACTTCTCCGGCCAACTTTTTTCCTGCCTTACGCTTTTACTTATTCTCTGGTCCCATTGACTAGTATGATTACAGTCCCCGTTACCCTGGTGCTCCTGATAAATCCTTTTCAAATTCATCGCGTTGTTACGTGCCGTCTTCTTTCTGGCGTAATTGGGCAGATCCCATTTCTCGTTAACCTCCTCGATTGCGGGCTGGTCTAGCGGCGCGTTCATTGCTTCCTTCATCTCAACGCTGAGAACATGCTGTGGTTGGCCAAACGAGGTGGTTTGTTCACTCTCAGTGTTCACTGCAGGTTTCTCCTGCTCAACTTCGTTGGCGGTCTTCTTGGGGCCCGGACAGTTAATGGCGATATGCCCTTTTCCGCCGCACTTGTAACGCTCACGCTCGCTGTGCTGGGTGAACTTCCCTTGGCCTCCGTGGCTTCCACCCCACGAGCTACTTCCTTTACCGCCCTGTTCGCCTCCGATCTCACCTTTCACATAGGATCCGTAAGTGGCTCGGTAACCTTTGCCTTTTCCGCCCTTGCCACCTTTACCTCCTTTGGTGAACTGTTTAGGTCTTGTGCAGTTTCTGGCTAAATGGCCCATGCCTCCACAATTGTAACACCTGGGGCCCGCTCCTTTACCTTTGCCTTTGTTTACGGCGTCAATTTCTTCATATTCTCCACCGTCACTCTCATTGGCCCAGGACCCGTAATTCCACGATCCATCTTCTGACCACCAGTTTCCATCTTCGTCAACCCATCCTGTTTGGTCCCAAACATTTTCGGACCCTTGACTCATCTCGTTGATATTCCCAATGTCCATTGCATCCTTATTTTTCGTATCTGAGTCAAGTTTCTTTCTACGCGCCCAGTCTTCGCACTTTGAATACAATTTCTGAAATGAGTCAATGTTAAGCGCGTCAGGCGTTCGCCAACATGCCTGCTGCCATTCGTCGAACTAGTCATTCGCGTGCACCATTATGGCCCTGAGTGCGGTGACTTTGAAAGGAAGAGGCAGCGAGTAATCTTTACCATATTTCTCAAGATTTTCTGCCAGTGCGCTCCATTCCTCAAGTCGGGCAACGGTGTCAGTGATCTTCTTGGGTGGCTCAGGATTCATGGCATGCGTCATTTTTGATGATAAGGTCGCTCCGGTTACCGCCGAGTACAATTTGTAAACCTTTTGCCAAGCCATGATTCCATCTCCATCCATCAGTCCCTTTAATTTTCCTCTGGCTTCCGCACCTTCAAGTTTCTCGTTCAGAATGTACCATAAGTCTTCCTCCATCTGAGTTTTGTCTCCTTCGGTGAACTCAGATTCGCCTTTGTTGTCGTCCTCGGCCTGTTTGGCTTGATTCGCCTTCAGGTACTCACTTGCAGTTAATCGGCCGTTCATTATGCGTATGATGTCGTCATCGTCCTCCTCTGGTACGACTCCGTCAAGCGTCTCCAACTTCTTGTTTAGCATTTTCAGTGCCGGTCGGTAACTCGGCTTCACTTGGGCTAGTGCGTTCAAGAACTTGTCGTTCCAGTCTCTGAACTTTGCTCTTTCCCCACTGAAGTTCTTTAGCGCCTGTAATGCTTTATATTCGCTTATCGGTTTACTGCTCCCGTGCTTGCTTCCGCTTCCTCCTTTAATCGCTTCCGAGATCTGACCAAACCTTTCGATCAACTTTTCTTGTACTTCACTGTTGGTCTCCAACTCGGTGACTCTTTCCACCAATCTGCGAGCATCCCTTTCGAGTGCAGCGTTTCTCTTTGTGATCGCTAACAGCATGCTGTTGGTCTTGTGGGCACTCTGTAACATTTGGAACGCTTCGGCATTCGATACCTCCCTTCGATCCTGTGTCACTCGCTCGTTAATGAACGTTGCGAGTCCGAAATGGTTCGCGAGTAGCGCCGTCTGAACGTAACTGAAGTCTCCGTTCATGTATGCTTGCTCGCACAGATCGTTGAAGCGATTCGGGTCCATGTTGACCCATGCATCTCTGTCTGCCGGCACATTGAGATTAACTGGCGGGTCGCCCTGCCCAGGTCTGGCCGCAGCTGCCGCTGCCCGCTGCCATGGCAACCGCGCTCCGCTACCATGCAAAACCCCGAGGAGGGTTCTGCACGGGAGCCTGGCAACAATGATAACGATAGGTCACCTTTATACTCCCGAACGGCAAAGCAGGTCTATGTAGCTTCGACCGTTAAACACTTGAGCCAAAGGCGGCAGGGTTACTATTCCTCCCCTGTCACACGCACGCTTGCATGTTAACACCTCCTCCTCCTCCTCCTCCTCCTCCTCCTCCTCCTCCTCCTCCTCCTCCTCCTCTGTTTGTCCTGCCACATCCTCCGCTCCGTCCGCCTCAGCCATTCCAATCTTCCTCCGTCGTCGTCCTCCTCCTCCTCCTCTTGGTCCGAGCACCCCCCCGCGCCCTGCAGAGTCGGGGCCTTCTTGGTCGGCGTGCTGAACGCGTCCTCCCTCGCGGACCACCACGTGCCCTCCTTCGCGGGCGCGGAGGTCCGAAATGTTGGACGACGACGGGCACACAGGGCGACAAACATACTCCAAGACGGCCAGACGTACCTGTCCTCCTCCTCCTCGTCCTCGTCCTCCTCCTCCTCCTCCTCTTCGTCCCCGTTCATCCTTCTGCGGTCCCCCCCCTCGTCCTACAGCTCATCCTCCTCTCTCCTCTTCCTCCTTTGCCGACACCTCAACGGGGCACCAAATAATCGGACAACGAGGCGGCCCAGACTTGAAAACACACCGCCGACTGATCGCCGATGGCCCACCGAGGAAAATCTTAGCATATTGCCTGTCAATTTCCTTGTCCTCCTTCTCCTCCTCCTCCTCCTCGTCCTCCTCCTCATCCTCCTCCTCCTGCTCCTCCTCCTCCTCCTCCCCTCCCCCCCCTCGGGTGGGTCGAGGCCTCGCCTGGTGGACAGCCGCGGGCGCCTCGTGGGCGCCTCGCGCTGCTTGCAGCGCACTGCGTGCGCCACGTGGCGTGCACCACGCTGCCTGTGCCTCAGAGCTTGCACCGCACGGCTTGCACCGCACAGCGTTCCCTCGTGGGCACGGATTGCAACGCCTGGCTTGGGCCACAAAGCTTGAACACACATGGCTTGCGCCAGATTGCCTGCACCACACTGGTTGCATCCCATAGCTTGCACCACACACCGGCTCTACCACGTCGCTTGCAGAGGGCATAGCTTGCACCACATAGCTTATGCACCCAGAGCGCGAGTGCTCACTTTTTGGGATCCACGCAGACAGACATCTATCACGCAACCTCGTATCTATGAGGGGGTGTTGCGACCAAAACTGTGCTCGAAAAATCCGGCACCGGATGTTTCCAAAGGGGCCATGGTGTGACCAATATGTTCGGCTCGAGACAATCACGAATCTCGGTTGCGACTTCGGCCACATCATGTTCTGGTCACAAATTCGGGCACGTTTTGGGTCACCTAGTTGTTCGGCCACGTACCTTTTCGGCCGATAGCGGCTGGTCGCCACAACATTTATTCTTCAATTTCTTCGAGAAGGAATAAAGAACTGAGCGCGAACAAGGGCAGCCTGTTCCGACGATGCTATAGGCCTACCACGTAATCATCTTGAAGCACAAGAGCGTTACAATGTTTTTGGGACATGGAACCAACGTCTTAAACCACGAATGTCTCAGCCAGAACTGTCCTGAAAACAAGTTGTACAACCCACACAAGATCACAACAAGGCTCTTCGAATATTCTTGGTGGGCGCATTGGCAGGCCAGGACGCATCGTCACTTCTTGATGACAGAGGAGGACGAGGTCGCTGGTTCGGGGGGCGCCCACGAGGGGGGCGTCCAAGAGAGCGGCTCGCAAATTCGTGGCCCGAGGCGTGCGGGGGCCGAGGGACGCATCGAAAGAAGAAGAGGGGGCCATGAGATCTCCTGGATCTCATGGCGCCAGCCATGAGATCCCCCCCCCAAGTCATCACCCCCCTCTTGGGCGCCACCTCCTGGACGCCCCCCTCTTGGACGCCCCCCTCTTGGAACCCCCCCAGGGCATCACCCCGCTTGTGGCCTCCCCCGAGAGGACGAAGTCGATCGTCCCGCGCCCCCGCATTGTCAAGCAAGCCGGACGGCGAACGCGCCGCCTGCGCTCGATCGCGCGGGCGCTCGGCAACCGGCCAGAGGGCAAGGGGTCAACAGGGGGGCCCAGGGAGACACCAGCGACCCCACACAGATCTGGCACTCCCTGATTATGTCTGTACGTAGTTCTTCGATTGCCCTCTTCCCTTCCATTCCCAAGATTATTACCCAACTCATCGTGTGCTCGTGCTGTGTATGAGGAGGAGGAGGAGGGGGAGGAGGAGGAGGAGGAGGAGGAGGAGGAGGAGGAGGAGGAGGAGGAGGAGGAGGAGGGGGAGCAGGGGTACCCTCCTGCGCCAGGGCAGGCACGACAGCCTCCCGCGCCGCGCCGGCCCCTCGGCGCCGGGCCTCCTCCGGGGCACGCCGCGCGGGCTCCGCGCTCCGACCGGAGCGAGACGTCGATCGGCCCCTCCGCAGGCGCGGGCGGCTCGATCGCTCGGCCGCGTTCCCGGGCCACTCTGGCGGCGCTCTGCCTCGGAGCGCCCGCCCTGCACAGGCCCCCCCACCAAGGGGCGGCGAGATCTTCACCTTCTCTTGTTTTGTTTTCGTTCGATCGGGCCTCGGGCGCAGAGGCGTGCATGGCCGTCTGGAAGCACTGGCATGGCGGCGAGCTCCTGGCATCGGCAGTCCTGAAACTACTTGCGACGCCCAGCACACATACGCCGCCCCTTCCACGAGTAGCAGCAAGAGGCCCCTAACCCTCTGGGAGGGGACCTGGGTCAGGAGGGCCAGAAGCATTCGGGACAGGCGCACCAGACCAAGCCGTCCAGATTCTTGTATCCCTAGTGCAAAGACGAGGACCTCAGTGAGGACACGTCTTCATCGTGTAATTCGGGTTAGGGGTTCGCTCGTTCTCGATGACTCCAAGCCCAACCGGGGCCCAGCATCGCCCGCTGTATGTGCCTCCCTGGCCATGCCAGGACGGCGTCTGCCCCGATCCTGGACCCAGCATGGGCCTGGCGGCCAGGAGCGGTGTATATGCACAGATTCCATCACCCGAGCTCCCACCCCCCCTTGTTCGCGCTGTCGCCGTCTGGGATTTGGCCATTCCAAAGCATTCCCAGACGGCGCCGTTGCGAATCGTGACGTTACCAGCCCCCACCCCACTGCCCCACCCCCCAGTAACGCCCAAAAGTTATCTCGTGCCAGAGAGGCGAAGGAGAAGTGGACGGAAAGAGTCAGCTCAGGAATGAACTGTTTTTAACTTGGCACGTGTGACCCTCCGGGATTCTAGCACAACTGGAACATTGCCTTGCTCGGCTAAGCGCTCTGGACCAATATGCCACGACAAATCAAATCGCACAATCTGTCGTAACGGTGCTCCTTGGACGCAAATTGATCGTCGTAGCGGCGTCCGTGGCTCTCGCTGCCCTATCCTAATGTCAGTCGGCCTTCTCTCGCCATAGACCATAGACATAACAGGGTAGACCACCACTTGCCCCAACTTGCACCTCCGTTATCAACGCCAACCAGCTCGGAAAACATCCCCGACGGAGACAGCAGGACTGCCGTTGAACATTGCCCCAGCGAGGCGGGGGAGAGAAGCGGACGGAAAGAGGACCCTGACATGCTCCGATCTGACTCGTTCGTTCCGCGGCCCCAGAGGCCCGTTTTTGATCTGAGGCCGACATCGAGGAAGTTCCCCTGGATTGAAATTATAGCCGGAGTGCAGTATCCCCAAACATGGTTTTTAGACCCACTGCGGTTTCCAAGGTCGATTGCGTGCCCGCCTAGTGCGGGCTGGCATGGCATGTTAAAACATGTCTCCTCCTCCTCCTCCTCCTCCTCCTCCTCGTCCACCTCCTCTTCATCCCGAAAGGCATCTCGGAACCCAGAGTTGCGAGGATGTCTCCAGCGTAACGGGCTGGACCACCTCGCGCGCGGCATTTCGGACCCCAGAGTTGCGACGATGTCTCGGGCGAAACGTGCTGCGAGGAAGTCTCAGGCGAAACGGGCCGGACCACCTCGAGCGCGGCGTCTCAGAGCTCCGAGTTGCGGGGGCCTCCTGGTGCCTCCTGGGGCCTCCTGGGGACCTCCTGGGGCTTCCTCCCGGGCCTCCTGTGGCCTCCTGAACTCCACCTGAGGTTTCCTGAAGCATCTTGGGGCTCCCAGGGGGGATATCTAACCTGTGGCCGTTTGGGCCTCTCCAAATACAGGGGGGGGCCACAGGAGCAGGAAAAATCAACGAATCGACACCGGATGTGTATTAACTTGACACGTTCTGATAGAGGGCCTCCTGGGGCCTCCTGGGAGCCTCCTGGGAATCTCCTGCGGACCCCTGGGGCCTGTCCTGGGCGTCCTGCGGCCTCCTGAAGCTCTCTGGGACCTCCCCCTCCTCCTGCCTGCTCCCTCATGCACATCATCCGCCTCCTCCTTCTCCCTTCCATCTCCTCCTCCTCCTCCTCCTCCTCCTCCTCCTCCTCCTCCTCCACCTCCTCTTCATCGCGAACGGCATTCGGAGCCTAGAGTTGCGAGGATGTCTCCAGCGTAACGGGCTGGACCACCTCGCGCGCGGCATCTCGGACCCCAGAGTTGCGACGATGTCTCGGGCGAAACGTGCTGCGAGGAAGTCTCAGGCGAAACGGGCCGGACCACCTCGAGCGCGGCGTCTCAGAGCTCCGAGTTGCGGGGGCCTCCTGGTGCCTCCTGGGGCCTCCTGGGGACCTCCTGGAGCTTCCTCCTGGGCCTCCTGTGGCCTCGTGAACTCCACCTGGGGTTTCCTGAAGCCTCTTGGGGCTCCCAGGGGGGATATCTAACCTGTGGCCGTTTGGGCCTCTCCAAATGGAGGGGGGGGGGGGCACAAGAGCAGGAAAAATCAACGAATCGACACCGGATGTGTATTAACTTGACACGTTCTGATAAGCGGCCTCCTGGGGCCTCCTGGGAGCCTCCTGGGAATCTCCTGGAGACCCCTGGGGCCTGTCCTGGGCGTCCTGCGGCCTCCTGGTGCCTCCTGGGCCTCCTGGGGACCTCCTGGAGCTTCCTCCTGGGCCTCCTGTGGCCTCCTGAACTCCACCTGAGGTTTCCTGAAGCATCTTGGGGCTCCCAGGGGGGATATCTAACCTGTGGCCGCTTGGGCCTCTCCAAATGGAGGGGGGGGCACAAGAGCAGGAAAAATCAACGAATCGACACCGGATGTGTATTAACTTGACACGTTCTGATAGAGGGCCTCCTGGGGCCTCCTGGGAATCTCCTGGGGGCCCCTGGGGCCTGTCCTGGGCGTCCTGCGGCCTCCTGGACCTCTCTGGGGCCTCCTGAGGCTCGCAGGGTCCCATGGAGGATATGTAACATGTGGCCTTCTGGGCCCCCAGGCTGGACCACCTCTTGCGCAGCATCTGAGAGCTCAGAGTTGCGAGAATATCTTGTGCGAAACAGGCCGGACCACCTTGCGCACGGCATCTCAGATCTCAGAGTTGCAAGGATTTCTCAGGCGAGACGGGCCGGACCACCTCGCGCAGGGCATCTCAGAGCTCAGAAGTTCGAGGATGTCTCAGGCGAAACGGGCCGGACCACCTCGCGCGCGGCATCGGGGAGATCAGAGTTTCGAGGATGTCTCAGGCGAAACGGGCCGGACCACCTCGCGCGCGGCATCTTGGAGCTCAGAGTTGCGAGGATGTCTCAGGCGAAACGGCCCGGACCACCTCTCGCGCGGCATCTGGGAGCTCAGAGTTTCGAGGATGTCTCAAGCGAAACGGCCCGGACCACCTCTCGCGCGGCCTCTCAGAGCTCAGATTTAGGAGGATGTCTCAGGCGAAACGCTCAATCCCGGACAACTCAGAAACGAGAGTTGTGAGGATGTCTCAGGCGAAACGGGCCGGACCACCACATTTGTTTGAGGATGTCTCTGCTTAGCTTTCCCTCGGCCGGAATTAGCTTCTATCACAACAGCACCCCGTTCAGCAAGCTGTTTGGGGAAAAACGCATCGTCGGAGATTTTTGGGGAAGATGGCGAGAGCAGTCGTCTCGCGCCCCGCGCCTCCGTGGACGCCGACCGCCCCGGCGGCGGCGGCGCTCGGCAGGCACCCCCGCCGGCCCCCGCGGCCTGCTTCCCGGCCTGGGCGGCGGGCGGGGGCTCTGCGCGGGGCCCCCCCGACCACCTCCTGGCGGCGCGCAGAAGGGGGGGCGAGGGGGAGGGGGGAGGGCTTCTTCGAGGGAGGCGGCTTCTTCGAGGAGGTATAGTCCTTCCGATCGGAGGCGGCACCTGGCCTCCTGAGAGGCCGCCCGTGGCTCTGGAGAAGGCTTGGCAAGCTTCCCCGAAGACCGGAGGCCCTCCGAGCCCACCGAGAGGCCCGCCACCCTGACCTTCCAGGAGGGCTAAAAAATAGCACGCGACTTAAAAAACCTACCCCAGAGCTATTCTACGTCTTGGCGTTATGCTGCTTCGCTTCGTTATTGAGGTTTGTAGGCCTCCCGTGCTAAAACATAGCTCTCTGGAAGGTCAGGGGGGGAGGGGGGAGGGCTTCTTCGAGGGAGGCGGCTTCTCAGAGGGCGCGGGCCCTGCATCTGCAGACCAGGCCCGCGCCTTCTGAGAAGCAGGCTCCTTCTAAGAAGTCTTCTCCCCTCCCCCTACCCCCCTTCTGCGCGTGGCTGATCCCCTTTCTCTCGGACCCCCAGAGATGCCAATTTATTCACTGCCGGGGCCTGCGCCCAGTATCAGGTCCCGGGACCCTCAAAGAACGATCCGGCCCGTAACATGATGCAGGAAGATGGGGTCTAGGGCGCTCCCGTCGTGAATTTTCGCAGGGTGTGTACATTTTCTGCAACGTCGGATCTCAGGGTCCCCCCCTTCTCCGCTCCGTCCTCCTCCCCCCTTCCTCCCTTTTCTGGCCCCCATCATCCTTCTCCTCCTCCCGATCCTCGGCGGTGGACAGACCTCCCTCTAGTAAACCACCCTTTGAAGAAAACGGCCTAGGACCGAAACCGACGGACCTGGACCTGCAAAAATGACGGCCGCGCCGCCCTCTCGCGAACCGAAAACGGCCAATTCACTAATCGACGTGTCAGGGTAGCACGTCTATCGACCTCCGAGATCCTCCGCTCCTTGCTCGCTCCTCCCCCGTCACAGGCCCGCAACAAGGCCCGTTCTGACTCCGTCGTCGGAGGGGAGTCCCAGGAACATCCTCCCAGCTCCCTCCCCGAGTCATATTCCCCCTCGTCCCTGGATCCCCCCTCCCTCCCACCCTCAATTTTGGAGTCCCGAAACGGTGCGGTGACAGACCGTGCGGTGACCTCGAAATCCCCCAAGACCTCACCGCACGGTCCGTCACCGCACGGTCTTGGGACCCTGGAGGCCCCTGTCGCCCGAGACGTCCTCGGAGAGCGACCCGAATCCCAAAACCGTGCGGTGACCCCGAATTCCCACCGACTCACCGCACGGTGTGGTCACCGCACCGTTTGGGGGCCCCCGATCAATCATCCTCCCCCCCACCTCCCCCGGACGTGGGAGGGTGAACCGGGCCCATAGCATGGTTAAGAGTTGGCATCTTTGTCCGGGCTCGGATGACCATCGAACGACGTCTCGAGTCCGAGGCTCAGTCACATCGCATGCTGCGGCTCCTCGTCCCCGTGCCTCCATCTCCGACCAGATTTCGACTCCTCCGCCAAGGGCAGAGCAGGACAGCCTGGGCGAGCGAGAACCGCAGGACGTCCAACATCAGGAAGGAGAGACAAGAGACATGTGAACGAGACGAAGAGGAAGGAGGGGTGAGGGACAAAGGAAGGGATGAAGTAAGATGAAGTGAGGAATGGATGAGGAAGGAGGAGGAGGCAAGAGGGCAGAGGACGGAGGGAGGAACAACAACACCAGAGCGCACCATGATGTGGGATAGGTGGCAAATGCGTGCGCCCTCGTGCTGAGGCCGCAGGGGCATGTACCAATCGGGCTACAAGTGCACTGACCGACGAACTTCATGCGTGAGTACACAAAAGCAGCCCGCAGTTGCAGACACGAGTGAGGGGGCGGCGGGGACGTCAGCAGTCTGCGAAGCTCTGACGAAGCCAGCCGCAAGCGCTTTCATTCTTACAGATTATACCACGAGCCCGCCGCCGGGGCCGATTCAGCAGTGTGCGTGGGGGTCGCGGGTGTGTCCGTATCAAAGTTTCGTGTGAGCGCACTGGATCCTGGACGCATCCCATGTGAGCGTTTTTGTTGATTCGGCGTGTCGGCCTTGGGCTGAAAGGGGGGGGGACGGGGTCTGGCTCCAGACCTCTGCTTAGTGCGACTGTGTTGCGACAGGGCGTCCAGTATGGGGGAGGGACTCCACATGCTCGAAACAGGCGCCCAAAACAGCCAAGATCCACTCCAAGGGGGGGAAGGGGGGGTGCGAGGGCCCGCGCCGATCAGCAAAACACTGAATAAAAACTAACACTTTTTGAAGGAGCACATCAAAGTTTCGTGTGAGTGCACGGGATCCTGGATGCATCCCATCATAAGCTATTGTTGCTGTTTTGTGACAGGCGCCACCTAACGCCGCTCATTGCCCGCCCCGCCAGCCGCCTGATGCTGGTCCCAAGCAGCTCCGAGCTTGCTGAGAAGTAGCAGGCGGTCGAACGCGGTCGACGCCTCCTGCACAGGAAGAACCAAAAGAGCTGATGGGAAGATGGAGGTAATGGATGACGAGGTCAGGTTTACTCGAAGAGCTGAGCCCTGCAGCCCGAGAACAGTACCCCGCAACATCGACTACAAAGGGAGAGAGAGAGAGAGAGAGACAGAAATAGAGAGAGAGAGAGTGGAGAAAATGAATCAGAAAGAGAGGAAGAACATGTGAAAGAGAGGGAGAGGGAACTATAAGGCATATCTATATATATGTATACAGAGACAGAGGGAGAGAGAGAGAGACATATATCTATATATATAATGAAGAGGCAAAGAGAGAAACAACAGAGAACGAGAGGGAGAAAGAGAGAGAGAGTGACAACAAAACAAGAGAACCGGGGAGACCCAAACGCCTCGGTACCAACAGGACGAGGCTGGCACAGGCGTGCGACGAGGGTGCCAGCCGATCCCAGCCACAAGACATGACCAAAGGCCTGCTAAGGGGGAGGCCCGAGCAGACGGGGTCGGAAGGTCGCGCCGCGAATCTAGACCCCCAGCCCCTCCTCCCCCGTGCTGGTGCTCCTCTTGGCGACGAGCGAAGGGGGGGAAGCGAGAAGGAAAGGGCCCTCTCAGACGGCGGCGGGGCTTCTGGCTTCTTGGAAAAGGCCTCGGGCCTTCCGGCAGGGTCATTTGCGTCGTCGGGGCAGGCGTCGAGAATTTTTTTCAGGAAGCCGGGGAACTTCCGAGCCTTACTTCTGAGAAGGCCTCCTCCTTTTCACTGCTCCCCCTTCGCTCGCCCCTGATGCTCCTCTTCCGGGGAAGCGGGCGGCGGATGGAGGGCGGAGGTGGACAAAAGGCGAGGAGGATGACCGCTTCTAGCACGAGCCTGTCGTCAGTAGTATCTCCGGGGCCAACATGCCGAGTGCCCCCTGCCTTTCGCAGCAGAGAATCTGATGAATCCGAAGTCGGCCAACGAGAATTATCACGTGAGCTTGTGAGCGCTTTTTGATACTCGGCGTTTCGATATTGGGCGGAAGGGGGGGGGGGGAAGGGGGGGGGGTAATGGCTCCGGACCTCTGCTTAGTGCGACTGTTTGCAGCAGTGCGCCCCATGGGGGAGGGACTCCACCTGCTCGACACAGGCGCCAAAAACAACCAAGATCTACTCCACGGGGGGGGGGTACACCCTGCGAAATGCTTAAGAAATCATGGGTTAAGAAATTCATGGTCTCAGAACTTCAATAAAAACCCAACATTTCTATTAAAATCTTAGGATTTTCATTGAAACGTTAAGAATAATCGAGACTCTGGCCGAAAACTTAAGTTTTCTTGAGCATCGCCTAAGGGGTAGGGCGGGGCGCGAGGCCCCGCGCCGATCGACCAAAGATTGAATCAAGAAGCGCCCACCCTGAGAAACTACAAATCATACGTGGGGGCGGGGGGGCGAAAGGACTGCTTTCTGCCGTGCGCCCCCCCTGCGCCAGGGCCATCGGAGTTCCAATCCCGCCCCAGGCATTGGCTTTTTCTTTCGAGCCTGTATATGAAAGGCCTGGCCCATCTGATATCCGCCATTGGGCCCTGAGGCACGAGCTGCAGTGTCCTCGGGTTGAAGGTTGCAAACAGGTGGGCGTGCTGGTGGCCTTGCCTCTGCCGGCGCGCCAGCGGCGCGTAACCCCGTGGTGGCGCGGATTGTCCTCAGGTCGTTGGCCTAGTCTTTTAAGCCTGAGTCCTCAGGCCTGAGGGTTCTTCACGGGGGCCTGGGTCCGAAATTGCCAAATCTTCTTGGGGTCCCAGCGTGCCCCCTGGGCCGCGTCGCATGCCCCCAAGGCCCCGTCGGGTCTTCCCGCGAAATTTTTGGGGCCCTCGAGGCCCTAGACGGGCCAACAGAACCTCAATAATTACATAGGCCACCTAGACGGTCCAAGGGGGCCCGGATCGCTGCGCGATCGGTCCAAGACGCCCAAAAGGGCTCCAAGACGGCCACACAAGTCTTCGAGACTTCGGGACGCACCACGAGAGCCCCAAGAGCCTTCCCAAGAGGGCCCCGAAAAAGCCAAAAACATTATTCCTTGTGGTGTTGGGCCCTAACGGGGCAAGATCGAAGACAAACAGGGCGTTGATCGAGGGTATACGTGTTGAAAGGCACGCGAGCAGATAACAACGAACAGGTTTAAAACTGTTGTTGTTGCTGGTGTTGCTGGTGTTGTTGGTGTTGTTGGTGTTGTGGTTGTGGTTGCGGTTGTGGTTGTTATTGTTGTTGTTGCTGCTGCCGTTGGTGTTGTCGACTTCACACTTCTTTAGAATGAAACTATTGTTCCCCCCCCTGCCCGGAAACGATTACATTTTTCAATTGGAATACTTCTCCCGGGGCTCGCACTTTGTGCGTCTATATATATATATATATATATATATATATATATATATATATGCATGTGTATACATAACAGGGAAAGCGAAGGGTCACCAAACAAACTTCGCCCCTGGCCCCGGATTTACAACAGCAGCGGCTCCCGCCTGATACGTCCTCACAATGTATTCCACAAGTCGCGCTCTCGCGCATGAGTTTCGCACAATCTATGCAGGAATCGCGCTCTCGCGTGGGACTTCCCTGCAATTCATTCAACTGCCGCGTCCTCGACACTCAGGACCACGCTCTCCCTGTGGATGTCCTTACGATTTACTTGGGAATCGCGCTGTCGTTCGAGACTTCCTCGCGATTCATGCAAGACGCACGCTTCAGTAACCCGCCTGCTCGACCTTGACGTGTGGGCCTGCCTTCCCGACCCGCCCGTTAAGGCCTACCCGCCCGGTTTGCCCGTCTGGTTCTGCCTCGTGTCTCTCGTGCTCCATCCTCCTCCCTCCCACTTGTCCCTTCCTTCCATGCGTCCTCTCTTTCCCTGCCTTAGGGGGGCACGAAATTCACGTTGCAGGTAAGAACATGTACCAGCAAAGGGATACGGTCGAACACAATAAGGGGGCGGGCACCGAGGGCTTGGGATATATGTGTCAAATGGCACGCGAGCAGATAATAGCGATCAATTCTAAACTGATTGCTGTTGTTGGTGCGGCTGTTGCTGTTGTTGTTGTTGCTGTAACAAGTATGGTTGGTGTTGTCGCTGTTGGGTTCCCATGTATAAAAATAACTCGTGCTGATCCGCTCCTGCCCAGTACCCACTGCATGTTTCAAATAGTTACCTTGCAAGGGAAAACGGCGTGCAACCAAACTCGGTTGTTGGGCCCCGAACTACAACAACAACAACAACAACAACGGCTCCCGCCCGATGCCCCTTCACAATGTATTCCCCAAATCGCGCTCTCGCGCGGAACTTCCTCACAATGTATACAAGAATCTCACGTGGGACACCTTCGCAATTGATTCAACTGCCGCGCCCTCGACACTCAAAAATCACGCTCTCGCTGTGGATTTCCTCACGGTTTACCGGGGAATCGCGCTACCGCTCGAAACTTCCTCGCGATTCATACAGGATGCACGCTTCAGCAACCCGCCTGCTAAACCTGGCCGCCTGGGACCACTTTCTCGACCCGCCCGTTAGGGTCGACCCGCCCGATCAAACTTTCTCGTTTTGTCATGTGATTTCTGCTCCGAGCCCTCCTCCGGCTATTCTCTATCGTGTTCCATCCTCCTCCCTCCTCTTTGTCCCGTCCTTCCATGCGTCCTCTCTGCACTGCACGACATACACGTTGTTGGTAAGAAAGATCTATACCCACAAGGGGGTACGATCGAAGAGGAAGAGGGCGGGTATAGACGGTTTGGGATCTACGTGTTGAATGGCCCGCGAGCAGATCGGAAAGAACAAGTTTAAAGTTATTGTTGGTGTTGTTGTGATGGTTGGTGTTGTTTATGTTGTTGCTGTTGTTGATGTTGATGTTGATGGTGTGGTTATTGTTGGTGTTGACTTATTGCTGTTTCGCTGACTTCTAATGCGTCTTCAATTAAAGTGCTCCTCTGGGGCTCGCACTCAGATTGCACCCCCATCCCCCGACTTACAACAACAACGGCTCCCGCCTGCTACTTCCTAACATATCAATTTCAATGTCGCGCTCTCGCGCGGAACTTCCTCACAATGTGTGCAGGAGTCGCGTTCTCTGGAAGGACTTACTCACAAGCTGTCGCGGCGCGCCGTACCCCCAACGCACAAGAGTCGCGCTCCCGCTGTGGATTTCTGCACGATTCACATGCAAATCGTGCTATCGCTCGAAGCTTCCGTGCGACTCATTTTTGATTGGCGCTTCAACGACCCTAAAAGAGGGCTAAGATCGGGATAAATCGCTCCAGAGCGTTCCGGAGGGCTCTCAGAGCGTTCCGGAACGCTCTGGAGCGGCCGCGGCGCCCGATACATCCTCCAAACCCGCCGATCCCGATCCGATTTTGTCCCGATCTTCGCGTCGTTTTAGACCCGCCCGCTCGACCTGGCCGCCTGGTCCCGCCCGCCCGACCTGTCCGTGAGGTTCCGCTAGCCGGACCCGCCGGTCGTGCTGTGCCGCGTGCGTTCCAGCGTGCAACCCTCCTCCTGCAAATTTCCCTCGTGCTCCATCCGTGTCCTCCCTCTTTGTCTCCTCCCTCCTCCCTCCCTTCCTTCCCCTGCTTCAGTTATGATGCACCAGTTCCACGCGGCAGGTTGAGGAGATATACCCCACAGGGGGGTGCGATCGGAGACGAACAGGGTGGGTGTCGAGGGTTTGGGAGCGAGGACGCCGACATTAACAGCGCGCACCGACAAACAAGTAGCAGAACCCGAACAGCGGAATCACACTTCAGCCGCGCCCCATGAACAATGAATGACCGTTCGGGCCCCTCACTCTGATATGGATATGTATGGCGCAATGTATGTGGTGCACTCTGTGCGTTGCAAGCTTTGCGGTGTTATCTGCATGACGCAACGTGTTCTTGTAATCGGTTGGTTGGCAACTCCGCAACCCGCACACACACATGGCATCTTCGCAAGCGCAACTGGTCTTGCAAACGCATGCGGCCACGATTGCGCATGCGCTCGGGGCTGGCTGGCGCACCTCCGCGGTCGCACTGTTGCGCGCACGCTCGCGCGCACAGAAGCTGGCGGGAGTGGCACAGCTGATGCGGCCTGGCAGACTTAAGCTCGACAAACGCGCTGTCAGAGCCGAGGGCTTACATCTTGAAGTGCTTCGAAAACCAGCGGTCATGCGCGGATCTCGGCACGCGCGCGCATGACGGCGCGCGCGCGTGGCCCAGGCGGTGCAACATGATGCGGGCTCGCGCACCAGGCGCATGCAATGGCAGCGCAGATGCACATAATGGTGAGGTGAGGATGCGGGTCCTGGGCGAAAGCGTTAAGCTCATGCAGTTGTGATATGGATGCACGTGACTTCGACAAGAGCCCGCGGGTGAATAACATACCGACAGCTGTTTCAGGTGGTCATTGTGGAACGCTTGCGCCACCGATTTGTTTGGTGTGACTTTGGCATTTGCGCGCGTGGGCGCGGCGCAATCCTTTTCAAAAGATCCTCGCAATAAAACTGTTCTGACAAAGAACGAGCGCGCGCAATGCATTAGTTACACAAGGTAAGGTGGGTGTCGGCATCAACCTAGCTTGGATGGTCTGAGCTGACACGGGAAATCGGCGATGAGGTAGAGTTCTATGTAAGTTGAAATGTCCCACGGGGGCCCTGCTAACCCTGGGAAGAGAAGGTGGTGGAATCTGTTTTCGGTTGAACACTGTTCTGTGTCAACTCATGCGTTGTCAACTCCACTGCTCGACAGATCACCCCCCCTACCCACCCGCAACTTGTCTTGTAAAACCCATGCGGCCGCGATTTCGCATATGTTTGGCTGCGCAGATGCTCGGCGCTAGCTGGCGCATCTCCACGGCCGCGCTGGCGCGCTCAAACTCGCGCGCAAAACGGCCAGCTGGCTTGGCACAACTCCTGCGGCAACGATGGCGATTGTCGATGGGAACTCCCCCGCGCGTCTCAGAGGCCGCGCGGGCGCGCGGGCACTTCAGCACTGGTGGCTGGCTCGGGCGGCAGCGGTGTCGCGATGATGTCGGCAATGGCGGCAACGATGGTGATAGTAGCGATGGTGGTGGCGATGATGACGGTGACGACGGCAGGGCCAATCACGGCTCCAACGCTGCTGACGACGGTGACGACCACGTTTGCCATGTTTGCGCGGATGACGGCGGCAATGGCAGCGGTCGGCGCTGACGATGGCTGCGGCACTACGATGGCGCTGATGCGTGCGATGGCGAGGACATCCGCTCGCGCAGAACTTCGCGAATTCGGGCAAAATCTGTTCAGAGACACTTGCCTTGCCGTGTGCTGTTGAAGAGCTCCATATCGAAATGCTTCCAGCACCGCTGGCCTTGGACATAGTTCGCCACGCGCGCGTGGCGGCGCGCGCGTGGCCCGCAGGGCGCGATGAGATGCGGGCGCGCGCAGCAGGCGCATGCTGAGCAACGCAGATGCATCACGCGGTGAAATGAGAGCGCGGGTCCCGGGCGAGGCTGCTAAAACCACATGGTATCCAAAAGACTTCAGCACGTGCTCGCGGGCAGACGACGTGCGATACTTCCATGCGATGAGCCAGAAGTTGTTCACTTTATGTCAGACTGCTTGCAGAATTGACGCGTTTGCGCGATATTGGCACGTGCGCGCGCGTTGGTTGCGTGGTCTGCGTCGCACGGGGTTCCTGCAACTTTGTTTTAGATATGCGAATGCGCGCGTATGGAGCTATTTCGCAGGGTAAAAAAGGGGGCGATCCTGGCCTGGTTGGGATGGTGCGATGTCATGCACAGAATGAGCGACGGGGCAGACACGAGTGTACTTTGCAATGTCTCAATGGGCATTCATCATGAGTCCAGGCTCGGGGAAGTGGTGGAGCCGATATTTCCTGCGACATGGAAAACCATAAGGGGACATCGATTTAGTCTGTGCTGTGTGAATTCATGAGTTGTCCGTGGCCACCTCCGCATTGCTGACTTCCTACGATTTTATTATGATGCGGGCACTTCTTTTTACCAGCCGAAGAGGGGTGCGCCCCGTGGCGACTTCAGGGGAAAGGGGGAAAGCAAGGGAGGGGAAGAAGAGGAGAAGGCAGCAGCAAAAGCAGCAGTGTCCAGCCGGGCTGCGGCTTTGCGCAGCCCGGCGCCGCGCGCCGCGCGGCTAGCCTGCGGCGCCCAGCAGCTCGGCGAGCTCGAGGAGCTCCGCCGCAGCCAGGCGCGCCACCTGCCGCGCCACCCGGCCGCGGGCCGCTGGCAGGCGCCGGCCCTCGGGCAGGCCGAAGTGGCGCGCGGCGACCCTGACAGGCGTCCAGCCGCGCTGGAAGGTGGCGCACACCGCCTCGCGCAGCTCCTCGGCAGCCTCCGCGGCCGCCGCGTCCGCGGCCGCAGCCAAGGCCACCGCCTGAGTGGCCTCCGCCGCGCGGTCCGCCGCCGCCGCGCGCGCTGCCGCCGTGGCGCCTGGGGCGGGTCTGGCGGCCGCGCCTCCAGCAGCCCGCGCGCCCCCCGCGGGCAGGGTCGCCGCCTGCAGGGCGTCGAGTCTAGCGGCTTCTTCCTCGGGCAAGCCGTATCACGTCTGTAAATGAAAATGCGTGCATAACCTGTGTGCTTGACCTGATGTCGACCTGTGCGCGCGCGTGCGGACGTGGTACCGTTTGTTGCAGGAACTTCATGAACCAAATCACATGTGTTGAAATCAACGGGGGGGCACTCATCATATTGTCACCAGAAATGCAGGAGGCGATCGGTATCCGGTTTGCTGTGATGAAATGATCTCGCATTGAGAAAGAACGGTGTAGCAAACGTGATACCGTGTAAACTTATAGTGCCAGGGTGACCCGAGACGTCTGGGCTCGGAGGGGGTAGATCCGACTTCCCCAAACAGCTACACAATGCTGTTTGGGTCCCACACTGGATAACATTGTCTTTGCCCAGGGAACCTAGATGGTGCAAATCTGTGTGGCTAAATCTGCGTGTGCAGACAGGGAGCCCGCACTGGCGCAGGGAAAGGCGGGAACACACTTGCGCCTGCTGGCTGCGAACACGCGCCGCTGAAGGGCGGCGCGAGAGGCTGGGAGGAGGAGGAGCAGGAGATCTCCAGCATGTCATCGCTCAGGCGTCCTTTCCCTGTGCATGTTCCAGTTTCGTGCGTCTTGTTCCCGCAAGATGATCCAAAATGCTCCTCGATGGACCTCGCCGAGAACAAAAGCACACGTTAAAGCGACGCCAAGCCAGCTGCCCAGACACTGCGATCATCATCTGATCAGAGCCCGTGCAGCGCAGAATCAGAAGTAGTTGAAACACACGTAGGCTTAGGTCGGGCGTATCCCCCTACAGGCGGGTGTTGGACGAATGATCGAAACAATACCCAGCAAATGCTCAAAAATGCTGGAAAATGATTTGAAAATCGTCCTCAGACAATTTCTTTAGTATTTTTCGATGCTCCCCCATGTAGAGGGACAGGCCCGTCTCGAACACGGCGGCGCGACGGTGGGGCCCACCACGCCGCACCCGCTCGAGCCCACGGCTGCTGGAGGGTGCCGAGCGAGGACTACGGATTGCCGTGAACCCGCCGAGCATTATTCGGGTTGACCCAATGAGGGGGTCCAGCCCAAATGTATTGCACTTGGGGCGTGCAATACATTTGGGCGCGCACAAATGTATTGCTGGATTTCCGCGTGCAATGCATTACTTGCAACACAATGCAATACGACTCTCCGGCGCAATCTAATTGCAATACAATTGCCCCAAATCTATTGCACAACCCCCTTTCAGCTGGACCCCATCTTGGTTCACCCAAAATTGTGATGTTCCAACCTATTTTAGCCTTGTTCACCACAAAGCATTTCGAGCACCAAATAAGTACCGAAACTCGAAGGATTTCACGCGTCGGGCCCTGAGGAGACACTCGTCCGACACTGTTTCGACACTGTTTCGACACTCTTCCGACACTTTTCCGGGTGCTCGAAACTACTTCTGGGATGTGGCTCTTAAGTACGATGGGAGCAACATGAACTTCCGCTCGGGTGGGGCGACGACTTCGACATCCGCTCCGACCCCGAGGAAGAGGAGGCGCTGCAGCTGGAGAGAGCCAGTCGCCTCAGCGCGTCCCAGTCTGTGGGGCGGCTGAGGCGTCTATACGTGAGCGTTTTTTCATTCGGCGTTTCGACATTGGGGGGGAGGGGTGGGGGAGGGGGGGATCTGGTCTCCAGACCTCTGCTTGGTGCGACTGTTTGAGACAGTGCGTCCTAGGAGGGGAGACTCCACCTGATCGAAACGCGGGCGCCAAGACAGCCAAGATCTACTCCATGGGGTGGAGGGGGGGTCGGGGGGGGGGACGAGGGCCAGAGCCGATCGGCAAAACAATGAATAAAAACACGATCGCTACTCTGCGGTCCTTCGCGGAACGGCCTGGCCCCCTTGGCGGTCCAGACGACGCGGTGGGTGCACACCGGGGCCCTCCGGCCCCTGCGCCGCACGCGCTCCCGTGCACGCGTCTTGCCGCCTCTGGGCCTCCCCCCCCTGCTGGGAGCTGGCCTGCTTCTTCGGCGAGCTCTTCTGGGGCGTCGCCTTCTCCGGAGTCTGCACGGGCGTGGCCTGCCCGAGCGGCGCGCGCCAAGGGCTGCCCGGAGGCGGCCGGAGAGGGAGCCCGCCACTTGCGTGGCGGGCCCGTCGGGGGGAGGCTGCTGGGAGGAGTCGGGAAGCATCACTTTACCTGATTCCTGCACGCCCTCCCGCCGACTCCGTCCTCCATCCCCCCACCCCCACACAGCCTCTCACGGCCCCCCCCTTCCCTCCCCCTATCCCGAATGCCTCAGTCCGCGACGAGACGCAGGCACGACGCTTCAACACGACGGCGAGATAGACCTGAAAGGACTGGGGAAACCAGACGGTATCGATATCGCTACTCCCTGAACCCTCTAGAGGGGAGCGTTCTGACCAGAATTCCAAGGCGAATCCAGCCGTGGCGGCGAGGGCCTCCCAGGAAGCCCCAAAAGTGGAAACCAACGGAAGCGTCGCTGTGTCGCTTCCATTTCCTCCTCCGATGGACGGAACTCCCTGTCGATGATGCTGTTCAGCTGCCGTCGCTCTCGCAAAGCCGCACCAAACTCCCTCCTTTTTTGTATATATATATATAAGAGTCTTATATGTTCCAAATTATTTGTTCCCAAACATCCCTCCTTCTCGGGCACAGAGGCTGGTCAGGGAAAGAGCAAGACGAGAGGCATAGCGCTCAAATGGCAGCAGGGCCCTGGTCTGCCCTGGCCCCTATTCCAACCCTGCCTCATCATCCTCCTCCCCCTCCTCATCCTCTTCCTCCTGTTTCCCTCCTCCCTCCCTCCCTCCCTCCCTCCTCCTCCTCCTTATGCTCCTCCCTCCTCCCTCCTCCTGTCTCCGTCCTCTCATGGAACGCGTCCTGGCCATAACTTCGGGGCGGATCCAACACTGGCGGATTTGCGAGGACTCATCTCCAGGACGGGCCAGAGAAAAGGGAAAGACGCTCATTTACCGGCGAACGAAGAATCCTCCTCACCTCTCCTTCCGGTTGCGTGACGACCGTTCGTGTAAGCCGGCAGCCGCATCCTTTGAACACTTTTACCCTTTCAAGTGCCAGAATGCAGAGACCATACTTCGATATGTCAAGTTCGTGTCGTGACGACCCTGGCGTTGGTTTCTGACACCGCGTGGATCGTTCAACTCTGAACGATCAGCAGCTTCTCGACCAGACCGTTCCATAGTGGCCGATTCCAATCCACTGGTGGCGTTCAAACTTGAATGGCCACGTCGGGGTCGCGACTGCATCGAAACGGCACGAACCTACCGTACTGTTTTTGGGCACACGCTAACATGGATTACGGATCCGTGGATCTGGCGCACGGGCATCATATCCACGGAGCAGGGAATGCACCACCCGAAACATGGAACCAGTGCCGCCTCATCCGGCGACTGAGCGAGGCGATGTTGCATGGAAGCGGAGGCACGTCTCTGATCCCCGCGCCTTAATCCACGCTTGCGTTTCCTCTATATTTCTCCTCCTCCCAACCCACCCCTCCCCGATGGGCAAGGATAAGGGGTGAGGGGTTCAGGCGAAGAGACATCGACTTGGAGTCGGCTATACATCGCCGATTGATCGGCGACAGGCCCCGAGTTAGCGAATCCGCACGTTCCCAGGCAAGGTGGGGCTTTCGGCCCCCTCTATCGGCGATCCATCGAATGGGTGGTTGGGGGTCGATGCATCCCTCCCTGAGACTCGGAAGCTGGGCGAAAGCTGGCAAATCCGGGCTGCTAAAATGGTCTCCCCGGAAGGTTCAACATATTCCCGGAAGAAAGCTCCGCGCGCTGAATGATAGACGGGCTGCTTCCTGGATGAAAATAACAACTTCCCGGAGCTCCGCTTTAGCAGCCACGGGTTTGCCAGCCTTCGCTCGGCTTCTGAGAGGGGACCAGGAACGGTGGAGAGGAGGAGGTGGAGGAATAAGCACGAGGAGGAGGAGGAGGAGGAGGAGGAGGAGGAGGAGGAGGAGGAGGCAAGGAGGAGGAGGAGGAGGCAAGGAGGAGGAGGAGGAGGAGGAGGAGGAGGAGCCAGCCTTCGCCTGGCTTCTGAGAGACTATCCCCACCGCTGTCGCCCTCCTGCCGGTTTTTCTGGGCCCCCCCGGCGGCCGCTGCTCCCTGCATATGCCTGGCACCCCCGTGCGCCTCTCGCGAGGGGCGCAGCTGCCGGAACGCGGCCCGAGGCCAGACAGCAGCAGGGAGCCGACGAAGGCGTGCGAGAACTTCAGACCGCGAATCCGAGACTCCCCCCCTCCCACACCCTGACCTTCCAGAGAGCTATGTTTTAGCACGGGAGGCCTAAAAACCTAAAAAGCGAGACGAAACAGCCCAAAACCAAGACGTGGAATAGCTCTGGGATAGGTTTTTAAGTCGCGTGCTATTTCTTAGCCCTCCTGGAAGGTCAGGGTACTAGGGGAACAAAAAGTGACATAAACATAAAAGCTCGGAGGTCCGCGCGGATTTCTCGGATCGGCGCTGAGGCCCCCCGGCGCCGCCCCTGGCGCGCTCCGCGCGCCAGGGAGGGGGGTCCAGCGCCGATTCGAGAAGTCCGCGCGGACCTCCGAGTTTTTATGTTTATGTCACTTGTTGTTCCCTTACATACGTAACGCTGTCGGGGATCCTCTGTCAGGGAGGCGTAGGACTCGGGCACGGGGGACTCGGGCTGGCCTGACGGGGGCCATCATAAAAATGAAGAGCCCCAATCTGAATTTCATGCGGGCTCCCGCTGCAAACATCCCACGAAAACAGGACCGTCGAAATCCAGGACGCGCTCGTCCGAAAAAACGTCGGCAAACCCGAGTTCCGGCTTCCTCGAGTCTTTCGTTTGCCCGTTTCTGACCCGGGTCAATCAATGCCCGGGTCAATCAGGCCTTACAGAATCCTGCAAGATGCTGCACCCAAACCCGGGTCAACGCGAAGGATCCTGCAAGATCCTGCAGGATCATGCACCCACGCGCGGGCCAATGTGACCCAGGCCCCGCAAGACCCTGCAAGATCCGGCGCTCTGGCTGACCCCGTTTGCTTTGACCCCCGCCTCTTGAGCCCCGACGTTGCCTACAGTCAACCCGTCCCGTATAGTGAGGATGCGGAATAAGGACGTAAGGGCTTTGACGCCACTTCGAATCTTTTCGAGCGGGGCGCGGCCCACGAAAGTGGCCAAGGATGGACCGAGGAGGCAAGGATGCAAGGGTACCCTTGGGAAGGGTGCCCATTCTTACTGTGCGGATGGACTGCGACGTTGCCTACAGTGGAGGCCCGACCACAACAAACCTGCCACAGGAAACCCAACCCTGGAACCGCAGGACGTCCATCGATGTTTGGCGTGGTGACGTCGCGCTCTCCATCGCAAAACCACCGAAGCCCTGGCAACCCAGGGCGCCAGGGAGACAAGCAGGGTGCTTCTTGGCATGGGTCTCTACTGTACCCCATTCTAGGCGGTGGTGTAAAGATGCCTGCTGCGTGTGTTTTCATGGCGAGTGGCCCCCTTCCTCCAGTGCAGTCAGGCTGCCCCGCAAACCTCCAGAAAGAAGACAAGGAAAGGAGCAGGAGGCGGAGTCGGAGGAGGAGCAAGAGGAGGGGAATGGACAGAAGGAGGTGGACAGAGGAGGAGGAGGAGGAGGAGGAGGAGGAGGAGGAGGAGGAGGAGGAGGAGGAGGAGGAGGAGGAGAGGAGGAGGAGGAGGAGGAGGAGGAGGAGGAGGAGGAGGAGGAGGACGAGGACGATGAAGACACCTTCCCGCCCGAACCCTCGACCTCGAGCCTGCCTTCCCCCCCCCCCGATGTTGCCGCCGTCCCTCTCCCGGCACGGCGACGGGGGTGCGTGCCGTGCGGTCCGGCGCCGCCGCCGCGGGGATGCCGAGGTACTGGGCCCGCATGCTCTCGGCCCACGCGACCTGCTGCGCGCGCGCCTGCTCCGCCTCGCGGAGGGTGGTTGGGGGAGGGCTCCTCGTGCCTCCCTCCTCCTGCTTCCTCCCTCCTGCTCGTGCTCCTCACCGTGCTCCTCCTCCTCCTCCTCCTCCTCCTCCTCCACCTCCTCCTCCTCCTCCTCCCTCCTCCTCCTCCTCCTCCTCCTCCTCCTCCTCCTCCTCCTCCTCTCCTCCTCCTCCTCTCTCCTCTCCTCCATCGTCCTCCTCCTCCTCCCTCGATCTCCTCCTCCTCCTCCTCCTCCTCCTCTCCTCCCTCCTCCTCCTCTCCTCCTCCTCCTCCTCCTCCTCTCCTTCCATCCTTCTCCTCTCCCTCTATCCTCCGCCTCTCCCTCTATCCTCCTCCTCTCCCTCAATCCTCCTCCTCCTCCTCCTCCTCCTCCTCCTCCTCCTCTCCTCTTGCTCTCCCTCCCTCCTCCCCCTCCTCCTTCCTCCTCGTGCTCCTCCTCTTCCTCCTCCTCCTCCTCCTCCTCCTCCTCCTCATCATCATCATCATCCTTCTCCTCCTCTCCCACCTCCGCCCTCCCCCGCTCCTCCTTTTTCTACCCCTCGCACTTGACGGAGCTGGATTCCCGCCCGACCCACTCGATCACCTGGACCAACTGGCACACACTGCGGCCCATCGAGTACTGTCGGAATGCGGAGGACATCGCCCTTGCAAGCGGCGCGAGCCGCCCGGCACCCTGCCGTCGCACCCTGGGCAGCTCAAGGCTTGCGCTTCGCCTTCTGGCAACTTCTCGTGCGAGCCATCCGCAGCATGGCATTCCACAAGAAAACAACATCGGGTGGCACAGATCTGATTCCAGACTGGCCCAAAAAGAACTCGACGTGCACAAGCTGCGCACCGTTATGACTCCAGGCTCGGCTGGAAGAGTTGCAAGACACGCTGCGACACGCCGGCGTCCACCCAGAAGCGCGCGACTTGCAAGCAGCAAGCATTGCCTTATGAACCATTGCGTGCGCCAGGGGATACCAACCCCTCCTCGGCTGCCGGACGCGCTCGGCGTAACGGACGGCACGCGCCAGCGGCGGCGGTGGCCAGGAAAGATGTACTGGCCTATCCGCGGATGACGGCCTCCAGGACTCTGGTGAGTCTGACGTCGCCTACCCTGAAGCCGTCCACATGGTGCTGTGGAGCTCTGGGTTATTGCTGGTTGGGCTGTCATCGGTGCCTTCTGCTTCGCAGTCGTGCAGCGGAGATGTTCCCCAGACCTGAGTCTCGTGGCCTTGCCATCGCAGTCCTGCTACGGTAGAAGGAAGCAGTTAACGTGGGCACTCCCCCGCTCCCCCAAACTCAAAGTTGGCACGCGCGGGCAGGACTACGGTCGAAGTGCAGCTCATTCCACCCACCGCCAACATCGATCATCGGGGGGGCATTGACAGATGAACGCGGAATGAGTGTTCGCTAATTTCTTCCGAGGCCTGTAGCGTGGTATCTCAGGGGAACAAAAGGTGACATAAACAGAAAAACTCGGAGGACCGCGCGGATTTCTCGGATCCGCGCAGGACCCCCCTCCATGGCGCGCGGAGTGCGGGCGGCGCCGGAGGCGCCGCCGGGGGGCCCCAGCGCCGCTCCGAGAAGTCCGCGCGGACCTCCGAGCTTTTTTATGTTTATGTCATTTGTTGTTCCCCTATATTCCCTATGTCATGTCATTATTTCTCATTTTAAAGTTTTGTGTTTTTTATGTTTTATGTGTTTTATGTTTATGTGTTTTATGTTTATGCTTTTTTTTGTAACATGTTTTATGGCTTATCCCCTATTTTGTCCCCTATATCCCCTATTTCTGTTTTTTATGTTTTATGTTCATGTCATTATTTCTTGTTCCCCTATGTTTGTTCGCGTCGTGCCTCGCCCATCCTGACGTCTGCCTTGCACTGCTCCTCCTCGCCACGGCTGCCGCCCTTCCGCCCGCGCTGGCCGGGCCGTCTGCGTGCCCACTGGGCCGCCCAGTGCCGGGCGCCCCCCTTCCCCTCGGGGGGGGGGGCCAGGATCGGGCGGGGCCGCGCACCCTGCTCGGGAGCGGCCAAGAGGGGGGTGTCCAAGAGGGGGGGTGCAAATCATGACCGGCGGCATGTGCGCGGCCCAGCGGGGGGGCCAGGGACGTAGTGAAATAAGAAGAGGCGCCATTGAAATCTGGGGAAATATCATGGCCCGCGCCATGAGATCCACCCCCCCCCTAGTCATCACCCCCCTCTTTGCCGCCCCCGACCTGCGCTCGCCCCCGCGCTCACCCGGGCCCGGGCTTATGTCGGGCGTGTCCCCCTACAGGGGGATTTTCGACGAAGAATAAAAAATACACCAAACATTATTAAAAAATGTCAAAAAAATACTAGAAAAATAGTCCCCAGACTATTTGTGGATTATTTTTGGTGTATTCAATATTTTTCGTCGAAAAATACCCCCTGTAGGGAGACAGGCCCGACTTAAGCCCTCAGATGTGGAACTGAAGGAGGAGGAGGATGAGGAAGGGGGGTTGGGAAGCAACTCCTGGGAGGCCTTCGTTAGAACGATTGAAGGCCATATAGAGCCCGACCAGGGAGTCGTTAACCCAAATCAGGCAGCATGACTCTTGGGCATCAACCAGACAAAACTGGATTAAGCTGGACTAGATGGGATTTGGCAGTTTTCGGCCACAGATCTACCAGCGCCGTTGCTGTACTCAGCTTCCCAGCAATTGCATCTTCACATGGGGAATTGGGGGGCAAGTACAAGGCGGATTGCAAAGCCTTTCAGGGTGGCTCGTCCGTGCACCAACAACCCGCCCCCTCCACCGGGACGGAACTGGAGAGCACCAAAACTAGTGCATCGATGCAGACTTGTTGGGACGTGCAAGGGGGACAGGGATTGGGGGCGGGGTGGGCGGAAACGTCGGGAAGGCATGGGAGCAATCCTGGCATTTGCACCTCTGGTCGGCGTAGACAGTGCGTGCTCGTGCTCCGTTTGTGGATTTGTCGGATCAGCACCGAGGTAAAATGATGCCACACACATGCACGTCGGCCGGAAGAAGCACGTAGAAATATGAGGTAGGACGGCGTGGGAAGTAGGTTGGGCTTCCGCCCACCCCATGAAGCTAAGGGAACAGGAGGAGCCGTTCGGCTTTTGGAATAGGAAGGCGGCTAACATAGATTGCTAGAGGCTTGGAGATGGACACCAACGCCATCATAGAGGGTTGCCTCTACCGGGGGAGGACGATCCCAGATTGCGGTGCTGGTGGTAATCTCTCGGCCGCCTAGGAGGCCAGAATGTTACCACCATCGCCGAGATTGGGATCTTCCTCCCACGGTGGAGGCACACCGCCGACATTGGTGTTGGAGTCAACCTCTAGGCCTCCGAGATTGGGATCTGGGCAGACAATACCTACTCGCAACTACCGACGGGTAAGGACAAGGATCTGATGCAAGCCAATGAAAAGGCAGCGCCCTCGCGCGCCGCGGGCCCGCGCACGGGCGGGGGTGGGCAGGGAGGGCCACGCGCTGGCTGTTGGCCCCGAGGGTGGGTGGGTGGGGAAACCAGAAGTCGGGAGGACGTAGAAAAGGTGGGGTACGGTTGAGGCCCGACCAGAAGAAAGCCTCCACGAGAAACCCAACCCTGAGACCCCGGGACGTCCATTCATTTTTGGAGTGGGAACCTCACGCTCTCCATAGCAGAACCACAGAAACCCAAGAGACCAGGGGCACCCTGGAGGCAAGCAGGGTGTTTCTTGTCATGGGTTTCCACAGTAGGGCAGAGGTGGGGTCGGAAGGAAAATCGCTCTACACGGCCCCTAGAAGAAGGAAATGTGAGCATCCAGCTGGGTTCGTTCCCTAACCCCACCTTAGGACAACCCCCCCCCCACGAACTCCCGAAAAAGGTACCTACTGCTACGTCCCAGACTTCTCCGGGGGTGCGTTCGGACCAGAATTTCGAGACGAGCCCCCCCGCCCCCCCTGCCCCCCCCACCCCACCTGTCCAACCCTTTCTCCTCCTCCTCCTCCTCCTCCTCCTCCTAGGCCCGGAGCAGCCCCACCTGTCCACCAAGTCTCTCGCCCCATCTCCGTCTCCCTCTTTCCCTTCCTCCCCCCTCTCCCCAATCCTTCGGGCTCCTTCGATTGAGCTTTTGCCCGGCGAGGGTCTGTGTTTGTCTCTCCCAAGCCTCCTGGCCTCGGCGTGGCCAACAAAGCGGAGGACAAGGATGAGGATTAGAAGGTGGGAGGATGGGGAGGGGGGGACGAAGAGGCAGAAGCCACGACAACCACCGGGGGCAGTCAAGCTCGCCTCGATACCTGATGTAACTCGCCCGCCCCTCCAGGAGGGCCCGAGAGATAAACGATGGCGATCGCCCACACCTGAAACTCTATGACTTCAAGCTTCAAGAGCACTTGCCCTGTGAGAACCGTCAGGAAAGGCGTGGCTCCTTGCAAATACAATGCAGGCCTACCTCTGCAAGCGCCTCAAGCGAGCTCAGACCCTCCTGGTTGCGCCTGTGCTCTCCCTCCCTCCCGCCTTCACTCCCTCCATCCCTGACGCAGCGGGATAATGATTGGGTGTGCTTCACTCTCGCGTGGAATCGACACCACAACACCGTGGGGCCCTCGATCGCAAAACAGCAGGGTTCTGTGCGTGGTGGTGCATCCAGACCCCTGTCGGCGATGAATGGGCGACTTGGGGTCGACGCATCCCTCCAGTGCCTGTCAGCGGCCTTCCCTCCCAGATCACTGCATGTATCCTTCCACCTTCTGAACCCAGAAATGCTGTGATGCTTTCTTTTTTCAGCACACGGTCCGAAGTCGACTACACGCAAGAGTGACCCTGCGCAAGAGTGACCTTTGGTGCGCGGCTTTCTGGGGGCCGCGCAGGGACCAACCACAAGCGCGCAAGACGCTACTAACGTATTGCTTTCGACAATCGAGGGGCCCCAGTGGGCCCGAACCAAAGGCGAAGGGTCACTCTCACGTGTAGTCAACAAAAAACCGTTTTTTCATCCCCGGTCGTCTTGGAACGGCCCCGGGGCCCAGAGAGGCCCTCCAGGAGGCCGAGAACGGCCACGCGGAGATATTCTGGGGACGATCGGGGCTGCATCGGCCCGGGTCACGGCACACCCGGTTCAGTGGGGCCTTGCATTAAGTCGGGCGTGTCCCACTACAGGGGGATTTCCGACGAACAATAAAAAACTATTCCCCCAAAAATGCTCCAAAGATGCCCAAAGATGCTCAAAAAATAGTCCCCAGACTATTTTTTGACTCTTTTCGAATATCCCCCCTGTGGAGGGACAGGCCCGACTTAAGGCCCTGCAGCATCCTGCAGGCTCCTGCGCCCACGGCCGGGGGGCCCGTGCGCCCCGGACCCGGCGGGCTCGGGCAGGCTCTGGCGCTCTGGCTGCCCCAGCGTTGGCACGGACCCCCCCCCTGGCCTTCCAGGAGGGCGAAAAACCAGCAGGCGACTTAAAAGCCTATCCCAGAGCTATTCTATGTCTTGGTTTTAGGCAATCTCGTTTCGTTGTTTTGGCTTTTTGGGCCTCCCGTGCTAAAAAATAGCTCTCTGGAAGGTCAGGGCCGTCTCTTGAGCCCCGAGACGACAGCGCGTGACGATAGCGAATCGACGCTGGATCGACGCCAGATCGACGCTAGATCGAAGCCTTAACCGACGCTAGATCGGCGCTATCTCATGGACTCGCAGATGCTAATCGACGCTCGTCGACGCTAAAGACGGAATTCGAAGGTCACTGCACCGACCTTGCAGACGTGCTGCAGCGGATTTTTGCATGGATTTCTCTGCCACTGCACAACCCAAAAACGGCGAGTGAAAAACAATATGAATTTCGCGTGGATTTTTGTTGTCTTCATTCCTGGCCAAAAACAATCCGCACGAAATTCACCTCGAAATCCGTAACGAAATTCTCCAGGACACTCCGGGCCCATCCCACCATTTTCCAAACGAAATCCGCGCTGCGATGCTGGCGCGACGACAAGGGGTATGGAAGGCTCCCATGCGATGCTGCCGAAGACAGCGTGTGACGAGGACCGGGGCGGGGAGAGCACGGCCTTGAGGCGCTCCTCCAGCGCCCACGACGTCACGGCCCCGCCCGGGCGCGCCGGCGAGTCGCCCAGCAGCGCCTGCCGCGGGAAAGGAGGCGCGAGGAGGAGCTGCCGGGGCGCGGGGAAAAGGACTCGTGTGCGCACGGGGGCGGGGGGGAGCGGTGAAGGGCGGTATCTTCGACAGGGTGGCCTGTGTGCTTTCCATCTTTCGCCCTCCGTGCATCTCTCTCTCTCTCTCTCTTTCTCTCTCTCCCTCTCGTTCCCTCTCTTCTTCTGTCTCTCATTCTCTCTCTCGCTCTCTCTCTCTCTCTGTCTCTCTGTCTCTCTGTTCTCTCTCTCTCTCTCGCTGTCTCTACCTGTCTCTCTCTCTCTCTCTCTCAGTCTTTCTCTCTTTGTTATGTGCTGTGTTTCTCTCTTTCTCTCTCTGTCTCTCTCTCTCTCTCTCTTTCTCTCCCTCTCTTCGCGGCGATTTCCATTCACATCGTTTTGAACTGCAGTGCCGTATATTGAATGAGCCACGCAGCCGAAGAATGTCCATTCAATGATCTATGAGTTTTCTCTTAGTGGAATGAAGCAACTCCGCATTCATAGGAATTCTTTGTTGAATCTAACTGGGTTCTAAGGCGATCCCAACTCAAATGAAACGGATTCCAAATGCACATAGGATTGAATACGGACTCTCCTGGGAGTTCAATAAGAACGAACCGAAATCCAAATCCACAAGACCTCGAATGAATTTGAAAGTGATGATCAACTGTATTTGATCAGAACGGAACGGAATCCGAATCTGGAAGATTTCTATTGCATGTCACCCAGGTCGTAATTGAAAGTAACAAAAGTTAATCAAATTCCAGTTTGTTCAACAGGGCTCCCATAAAACCGATGTGGACTCTAATGCTCTGTTCGCACATACAACAGCAACACACAGTGCTTCCCTTATTTTGCGCAGAAAGCGAATCGACACGCTGTGTGTTCAAGTCCTTGCGCTAGAGATACAAGCGCTGGGTGTTCCAACATGTTCTGAGACATGCGTAAGAGCTATATGTGGGCACGTGCATACATGAACATGCTGCGTTTGCAAAAAAAATAGCCTGGCGAAGAACCCAACCATATGCAGTTGTCAGTGCCGCAGCTGCGGGTTTCATCTTCAGTGGAACTCCCCATAGGACCACGGAACGTGTGAGGGGTGTGCCGAGATGGGTGCCACTGGGGCATTCGGTGAAGCTCCCTATGGGGACATGAAGCACGCGCGGGGCGTGCCGACATGGGTGGCGGAAGCGCATGTGGGGGCCGCCACTGGGGCCTCCATTGGAGCTCCCTATGGGTTCCCGAAACATGATGCTGCTGCGGGGGGGGTGCCGGGATGGGTGGCGGAGACGCATGTAAGCGCCGCTGCTGGGGCCTTCGGTGGAGCTCCCTATGGGGCCACGAAACGCGTGAGGCGTGTACTTGGATGTGTGGCGGTGACGTATGTGAGCGCCGCCACTGGGGCCTTCGGTGGAGCTCCCTATGGGGCCACGAAGCGTGTGAGGGGTGTGCCGAATTGGGTGCCGGTGGTGACGCATGCGGGCGGCGCCACTGGGGCCTTCAGTGGAGCTCCCTATGGGGCCACGGAACCTGCTGTTGTGAGGGGCGTGCCGGGATGGGTGGCGGGGACGCATGTGAGAGCGGCCGCTGGGGCCTTCGGTGGGGCTCCCTATGGGGCCACGAAACGTGCGAGGGGTGTGCCGAAATGGGTGTGCGGGACGCATGCGGGCGGCAGCACTGGGCCTTCGGTGGAGCTCCCTATGGGGCCACGAAACGTTCGAGGTGTGTGTGTGTGTGTGTGCCGAATTGGGTGTGCGGGACGCATGCGGGCGGCAGCACTTGGGCCTTCGGTGGAGCTCCCTATAGGGCCACGAAACGTGTGAGGGGTGTGCTGAATTGGGTGTGCGGGACGCATGCGGGCGGCAGCACTGGGGCCTTCGGTGGAGCCACGACACGCGTGAGGGGTGTGCCGAATTGGGTGTGCGGGACGCATGCGGCCTTCGGTGGGGCTCACTATGGGGCCACGAAACGTGTGAGGGGTGTGCCGAAATGGGTGTGCGGGACGCATGCGGGCGGCAGCACTGGGGCCTTCGGTGGAGCTCCCTATGGGGCCACGAAACGTGTGAGGGGTGTGCCGAATGGGTGTGCGGGACGCATGCGGGCGGCAGCACTGGGGCCTTCGGTGGAGCTCCCTATGGGGCCACGAAACGTGTGAGGGGTGTGCCGAAATGGGTGTGCGGGACGCATGCGGGCGGCAGCACTGGGGCCTTCGGTGGAGCTCCCTATGGGGCCACGAAACGTGTGAGGGGTGTGCCGAAATGGGTGTGCGGGACGCATGCGGGCGGCAGCACTGGGGCCTTCGGTGGAGCTCCCTGTGGGGCCACGAAACGTGTGAGGGGTGTGCCGAAATGGGTGTGCGGGACGCATGCGGGACGGCAGCGCTGGGGCCTTCGGTGGAGCTCCCTGTGGGGCCACGAAACGTGTGAGGGGTGTGCCGAAATGGGTGTGCGGGACGCATGCGGACGGCAGCACTGGGGCCTTCGGTGGAGCTCCCTATGGGGCCACGAAACGTGTGAGGGGTGTGCCGAAATGGGTGTGCGGGACGCATGCGGACGGCAGCCATGGGGCCTTCGGTGGAGCTCCCTATGGGGCCACGAAACGTGTGAGGGGTGTGCCGAAATGGGTGTGCGGGACGCATGCGGACGGCAGCACTGGGGCCTTCGGTGGAGCTCCCTGTGGGGCCACGAAACGTGTGAGGGGTGTGCCGAAATGGGTGTGCGGGACGCATGCGGACGGCAGCCATGGGGCCTTCGGTGGAGCTCCCTATGGGGCCACGAAACGTGTGAGGGGTGTGCCGAAATGGGTGTGCGGGACGCATGCGGACGGCAGCACTGGGGCCTTCGGTGGAGCTCCCTGTGGGGCCACGAAACGTGTGAGGGGTGTGCCGAAATGGGTGTGCGGGACGCATGCGGACGGCAGCCATGGGGCCTTCGGTGGAGCTCCCTATGGGGCCACGAAACGTGTGAGGGGTGTGCCGAAATGGGTGTGCGGGACGCATGCGGACGGCAGCACTGGGGCCTTCGGTGGAGCTCCCTGTGGGGCCACGAAACGTGTGAGGGGTGTGCCGAAATGGGTGTGCGGGACGCATGCGGACGGCAGCCATGGGGCCTTCGGTGGAGCTCCCTATGGGGCCACGAAACGTGTGAGGGGTGTGCCGAATGGGTGTAGGGGACGCATGCGGGCGGCAGCCCTCGGGCCTTCGGTGGAGCTCCCTATGGGGCCACGAAACGTGTGAGGGGTGTGCCGAAGTGGGTGATGACGATGACGGTGACGACGATGACAATGACGATGATGATGATGATGATGATGATGATGACGATGATGATGATGATGATGATGGGAGGAGGGAGGAGGGGGAGGAGAGAGGAGGAGGAGGAGGTGGGACGCGGGGCGCTGTCTCTTCAAAACGAGGACCCAACACCACAGGATGGCTGGGGAAAAAATTAGCCTGGCGAAGGACCCAACCATATGCAATTGAGAGTACCGCAATTGTGAATATCTTCTTCTGTGGCGCTCCCTATGGGGCCACGAGCCGTATGAGGGGTGTGCCGAAATGCGTGGCAGTGTACACAACACGAACGAAGACGATAAGTCCGAATATGAAAGCTTGAGCGCGTGCGAGTCGGATCGCGAGCGAGTCTGATTATGAATGAATCTGCGCGCGATTGATTCTATTCGCATGAATGCGTGCATGGATACGCCCAGTGTAAATGTATGTATACGACTGTGAACAGTTTGGGTCTGCGTGACTCTCGGTACTCGTGACTCTGAGCGTCGCCTCTGCAGGGGGCTTCCCTGGGAACCCCGACGGCAGCGCCCGCGCGCCGCGACGCCCATGTCGGCACGCCACACACCTGGTGTGCGGGACGCATGCGGACGGCAGCACTGGGGCCTTCGGTGGAGCTCCCTGTGGGGCCACGAAACGTGTGAGGGGTGTGCCGAAATGGGTGTGCGGGACGCATGCGGACGGCAGCCATGGGGCCTTCGGTGGAGCTCCCTATGGGGCCACGAAACGTGTGAGGGGTGTGCCGAAATGGGTGTGCGGGACGCATGCGGACGGCAGCACTGGGGCCTTCGGTGGAGCTCCCTGTGGGGCCACGAAACGTGTGAGGGGTGTGCCGAAATGGGTGTGCGGGACGCGTGCGGACGGCAGCCATGGGGCCTTCGGTGGAGCTCCCTATGGGGCCACGAAACGTGTGAGGGGTGTGCCGAAATGGGTGTGCGGGACGCATGCGGACGGCAGCACTGGGGCCTTCGGTGGAGCTCCCTGTGGGGCCACGAAACGTGTGAGGGGTGTGCCGAAATGGGTGTGCGGGACGCATGCGGACGGCAGCCATGGGGCCTTCGGTGGAGCTCCCTATGGGGCCACGAAACGTGTGAGGGGTGTGCCGAAATGGGTGTGCGGGACGCATGCGGACGGCAGCACTGGGGCCTTCGGTGGAGCTCCCTGTGGGGCCACGAAACGTGTGAGGGGTGTGCCGAAATGGGTGTGCGGGACGCATGCGGACGGCAGCATGGGGCCTTCGGTGGAGCTCCCTATGGGGCCACGAAACGTGTGAGGGGTGTGCCGAAATGGGTGTGCGGGACGCATGCGGACGGCAGCCATGGGGCCTTCGGTGGAGCTCCCTATGGGGCCACGAAACGTGTGAGGGGTGTGCCGAAATGGGTGTGTGGGACGCATGCGGACGGCAGCACTGGGGCCTTCGGTGGAGCTCCCTGTGGGGCCACGAAACGTGTGAGGGGTGTGCCGAAATGGGTGTGCGGGACGCATGCGGACGGCAGCACTGGGGCCTTCGGTGGAGCTCCCTGTGGGGCCACGAAACGTGTGGGGGGTGTGCCGAAATGGGTGTGCGGGGCGCATGCGGACGGCAGCACTGGGGCCTTCGGTGGAGCTCCCTATGGGGCCACGAAACGTGTGAGGGGTGTGCCGAAGTGGGTGATGACGATGACGATGACGACGATGACAATGACGATGATGATGATGATGATGA